CGTGGGAAGGGGGCAGAGCACCTCCACGTGTCCACCAACCCAGAAGCCCCCGAGCCCCATCCTTTTGGGGTTTTATGGAGGCTCCATCCCATGGATTAATCACCCCATGATTGTTTGAGTCATTACCTTCGGTGCTGGAACCCAGCCTCCAGCTCCCTTCCCTGCCCGAAGACCGGTGGGTAGGGGCTGGCGGTTCTAACCCTGCCCTCTTCCTTATGGTCCCGCAGGCAGCCGGCACCCACCCGTAGGGGCTTTCCAAATGTCACCTCGTTAACAGAAGCTCCAGTGGGGCTGAAAGGAGCTCCTTTTGAATGACAAATGACACCTTTATCACTCTGACCACTCTAATCATTTAGGAAAGTCCAAGGGTTTTAGGAGCTCTGTGACAGAAACCAGAGAAAGGCCAAAATATATACAGGTGTTTTTTATTATAGCTCACATACCACAGTTGTACACAGGTGGCGGGGCGGTGGTGCACCAGAGCATGATACCTGAGAGGGCAAAATTAAGGCCCAGAGAATGAAGTGACAGGTAGCTACCACATGGCTAGTGAGTGGGAAAGTCAGGTTCTAGACAGGATGAGCTCTATCTCATAGTAATAATTGAGGTCTGCCCAACTCCTTACACTGTTTATACACAAGCGGATTGCAGTTTTCTTGAAGGTAGGGCCATCTCTTCACTCATTTATTCAACTAGTATTATTTGTTTGTACTAAAAAAGCACTGACATGCGTTTAACTCATTTAACCTTCTCAGTAATCCCAGAAGACAGAAACTATTACTCTTCCCGTTTTGTAGTTGAGGAACTAAGGGTGAAGCAACTTACCCAGAGTCATGTAGCTAAAAAGTGGTGGACGACGGGGCACAGCGTAGCTGCTGTTTCCCAGCTGGGATGTCTGGGAATTGAACTCATTATTCTTGCTCCCATCAGACTGCTAAGGAATTAAATTTATTGGTGGTGAAACAGGGGAAAGCAGGGCAGTGGGGAAAGGCAGAGAAACTTAAAAAAATATGGCTTCCCAACCCAGCCGAAGTCCCTGAACAGCACCCTTAAACTTGACGGTAAACATCTCTAATCTTAATTCTTGCTGTTTTGGGGGCTCCTTTGCCATTTTCCACATTTTAGTAGAACATTGGACTGGGAATCGAGTTACATCTTAGTCCTACTTTAGCAATGAACTTGCCGAGTGACCTTGGACAAGATGCCCAAAAATGGAAGTGATAATAATTGTTTTACTCCTCTGGGGGTGTTGAGACCTGAAAATATAAGGTAATGTTAAAGTAATGATGATGCTGGGTAATCATAGGGACTTTGGGATTGTTGCCTTGAGCAAGTTCCTTCACTTCTGAGCATGTTTCCTCGTCTGTAAAAGGGAGATAGTCTGTGCCTTACAAGGTTGCTGTGAGGGTAAGATGGTGTACGTCAAGGCTTAGCATTCTGCTGGGATGCTAGGGATCCGGTAAACGGTAACTATTATTAATAACCCGACAACCGAGCTTGGTTGATACTCTCTTAGAACCACGCTTGGCAGAACAACACACACACATGCGCGTGCACAGAGCGAAAGCAGTAACCACCACCATCAACCACCCAGAGCGTGTGGTCCTGTCAGCTCCCCTAGAGGTGACCGCCGGCTCCCCAGCGCGCGTGTCGCCTGCCAAATGCTGCTGGGAGAATGGAGGAGCAGCCAGTTGGAACTGCTTTCCTCCTGAGGCTGGGAGTGCTTTCAGTGAAAGATGGCTGGAGCGAAGACGCTGCAATAGCTTTGACTGCCAAGTGACAGGCAAAATGAGCCAAGCAAAATGGAGATGGCAGAAAAGGGGACTGAGGACTGAGAGCAACTGAGAGCAGCTGGGAGGCAGTGTGTACTGGCTGACTCTAATCTCTGCCACCGATGCACTTCATTCCTCCTTTTCTCCACTGAAGGGGCCTCTAGGTAATCGGGACTCTCACTAGCTCCTGCGGACACAGGGACGTCCCTCTTTGCTTGTTCGGTGCCACGAAGAATTGTTTGGTTTCTAGGGCCTCACCTGAGGATGTGTTTATTTGAGAGAGAGAGGAAAGGGGGGAAGAGAGACAAGGAGAGAGGGAAGGAAGGAGAGGGAAGGAGGAGGGAGAACTTGCCCTGACTGGGATCGAACCTGCAACCTAGATACAAGTCCTAACCAGGAATGAAACCTGCAGCCTTTTGGTGTGCGGGATGACGCTCCAACCGAGCCACCTGGCCAGGGTGCAACTCCCAATTTTTAAATCCCTTCCACATGTCATTTGACTCATACCATACCCTGTGAGGTAACATCATTTTTACAGTAAAGCGAACCTAGGTTCAGAGAAGTGACTCGCCCAGGCATCACTAGCCATTAAAAAGTAGAATGGGAACGTGAACCTGTGTCGTCTTTAGGCTTGCCGATTCCCAGTTCTTTTCATTACTCCATACTAATCTAGTGATTGTTACTATTAAAGATTTTAGGTCTAAATTATATTCTTTTCCCTGCAACTTTAATTCCAGTCTCTTATTTTGTTCCTTGGGATGTAAAAAGTAGTCGTTACTTCCATCATTAAATGAAACATGTGAAAGCATTTTGTAGATTGTAAGGCACTGTGCAAAAGTACATTTGAAGGCTTATTAGGAAATCAGCATTTTTCTTCTCCAAGTTAAAGAAACTGGATGAATTTGTAAGTGGGAGCGAGAATTACCTTTGTAGCATTTACAATAATTTTAATATATTGTTGGCTGAATTACGGGGTTCTCTAAGAAGAGAACAAGAGACTGGGGAAACCCTTGGGCCTAATTCTTACCATTTGGGAGCATTAGTGGCATTGAGTCCAACGCCAGAGACCTAGGTAAGCCAGCTCAAAGAAGTACAAAGGAGCCCTTCAAAGTGCGGAGGATCAGCAATCACTCCTGAGGCTGTTGATTTGGATCGAACAAGGGCTCACTTGATTTTAGTCAGGGTCCCATCACTTGTGCTCTGGGATGCAGAGCATGGGGCGCAGGTTGTTTTTTTTGTTTTTTAAGATTTCATTTATTTATTTTTAGAGCAAGAAAAGAGGGAGAGAGGAAGAGAAACATCAGTCTCTCCCCCAACCTGGAAGGGAATGGAAGCTGGGAACTTTTAGTTTGAAGGATGATGCCCAACCCACTGATCCACACCAGTCAGGGCTGGGAGATTTTGAGCTTTTTGGACTTCTAAAAACTTACTGGGGTTTGTGTGTAGTAACATACATGGCAGTACTTAAGCTCTTCTTTAACTGTGTTACAGCAGAGGACTCAACAACCTCAAGGCTACGCAATTGTTAACTTAGAGACTTAAGTTCCAACCCTTCAGAGCACGGCAGCCCAGGCCCTCCATCCACAGTGGTTCATAATCCACCTTTCCAGTAACTCCGCTGTTACCAAGAACCAACACTGCTCTAGTTAAATTGTTCTGCCCACTACCTTCTGAGCATGTTTTGTTTTTCCACTTGCATACCTCTCCCTTTAAATCTGCGCTAAGGGTAGCCATTAAACACATCTGGCTAGTGAGTACTTGTGGCAGTCTACACTGAGATGTACTGTTAGATATACCCAGATTTCAAAAACATACACCCCCCAAATGTAAAATATTTCACTAATATTTAAATACTGGTTACATATTGAAACATTAATATTTTGGATTAAATTCATTAAAAATAATTTCACATTTTTTTACTTTTCCTAGTACAAACGTTAAAAAATATGTGGCTTGCGGTGTATTTTTACATGGACACTGCTCCTCTAGATCATTAGCCTGGCCTCTTAAACGAACATAGAACTGGACCTGCCGTTCAAGCCCATCTTTGTACTTTTTCATCTTCTGAAATAAAGCAATGAATGATAAAAACCTCTTGAGTGTGGTTTCTTTCATACAGTTCAGGCAGGCATGCCCTCTGCATGTTATCAAACTGAAGTTGCTATCACCAATCAGCTGATAGCACAAGAAAGCAATGACTTACAGCAGAAGACAAGATAATATTCCCAGTGTTAGATGATTTCTTTTAGGCATCCACACTAAAAAAAAACAACCCAAAAACCAAAAAAAAAAACAAACCCTTTAATTCCATCTTTACCTTTCCTGTTTTTCTTTCACATCTAGTCACTCAAATGTTGTTAGTTTTTCCTGTGAAATTCGTTCCATTCTGTTCCTTTTCTCTCGATCCATATCTAATCAAAATCTTGGTTACCCTGTTTTTAAAATCTAGTTCCCAAGTAGTCTGCCAGCTTCCTTTCCCATGTTCATTACATTCTATACAGTATATTCCATACTGCAACTAAAGTCGTCTTCCGTTGTATTTTTTAGCAGATACAATCTTTTTGTTCTCAAAAACTTTTTCCCACATTGCCTCCAGGAAGAATTCTTTCATCTAGTACTCAGGTTTTTTCAAACCTAATCTCTTGGTACTCTCCTCCATAAAACCTGAGCTTTAGGGAAACTAGACTGAGTTTATGTAAATCACTTAGAATCCCGCCTCACCTACTGTAAGAACTCTACAAGTCCCGGTTATTATTATTACTACTCACTTTTATGTGACTATGCTGTATGCATTTCTATCTCCAGAGCACTGTGAATTCCTTTTTCCTATTTGAATTCCTCTATCTCTAAAGGGAGAAGTAATGATGTAAACTAACAAGGAATAGCACAAGCCAGTTGTTGCTCATGGAGAACTTACACAACAGGTCCTTGAAAAAGGTTTTGTTTGTTCAGTGTCCTTTTGTTGTAAGTTTGGTGAAATGCCATGGGAACATAATTGGTTTTTATCAATTACCTATGGTAAAATTGGTTTCAATATAAGTAATTTCACTGCACTTCTAAGAACCTATCGGTGACCTTAAGTGAGGACTTACTGTATTTTCTTCCTAAAATAGACAAACCAGCAACTCTCAACCCTAATTTGCCACAAGTGTGATAAAATTTAAGACTGGATGGAACATACATAAAAGGTGATATTTCTTTTATACAATAGACAGTAACCTATGGTATGCGTTATTTAAAAAATAAAAAGCTTGAAAAACACAAATGGGTTCTGGATTTAGGGCAGTGGCTCTCCAACTTTGGTGTAATTAGAATAAACTGGGAAGCTTCTAAAAGTAACTCAGATGCCTGGGCCCAACTCCAGATTTATTGAATCTAATAGTAGGGCTTGGGCACGTGAATTTTTTAAAAAGCTTCAGAGTTGATTCACGTGCATCTTTTTAAAGGCTCTGTAGGTGACCTTCATGTGCACCTACATCCAAGAATCTTTGGTTTAATCAAGAGAAACTTTGGGTTAAGGAGGCTGGTCGTGTTTGGCATATATTTTTACCATGTTCTCCTACAGTATGTTTTTGAAAGGGAAACAGAATACAGAGAGAACTGATTAACTCTGAATGGTTTATCAATCTATGAACAGTGTTCTTAAAAACAAAAACCCAAAGCTTTCCCACCATCTTGAGTTTGATCTAGGGGTCAGAAAAGAAAAAGGCATATATACCCCAATACACTTGGTATTCATCTAAAAGCTTGTCTGTGGGTTTTCTATTAATTTATAAATTTCAAAATGGAACTACTAAGGAAATATGTATTTAACTATATACAATATTTACAGCTTAGATTTTTCCAATCCCAAATTATGTATTTCAATCCATAAATATGTGAAAAAGTTGGCATTTTTAATACTTAAAAAATTTCAAAACAGCTTTACCTCAAAAATATTTTAAACCAACTTGCCAAAGTGCTATTTTCACAGGCTGATATTGTTCCACAGAGACCTAGTCCAAGCGTGAAGTAACCGCTATCACACGATGAGAGCACTTTCTGTACAATCGCAGACGGTGTCAGAAACACCGGGTCCTTGAAAACCTATAACAAAGCCCCTTTCACCCTCCAATCCTGAGACAACAAATCCTGTAGTTCCCCCTCATCGTCGCTGTCAACATTCTCCTCTTCCTTTTTCTGCAGTTCTTTGATGGTCAGGACTTCTTTAAGCTTATTTTTCAATTCGTCCTGGCGGTTCCGCAGTTTTTCCACCCGACGGTAACACTCTATCTGCTCGTCGATCTCCCCAATCTGCCGGTCCAGCCGTCCCTCCTCATCCTCTTCAGCAACTATGGCTTCGGAAATAGTGTTGACCTGTCTCATGGCCTTTTGAAATTCGTCCCACTCTTTGTCCATCTGATCCTTCGGGGCATCAACCTTTCGTACCCTCGCGTCTACCTCAGGGTCGTCAAAAAACCCTTCCGGCAATGCTTCGGCAGTATTTTCTTTCCTTTCCACCACTTTTTCGTGTATTTCTGCTTTCTCAATGGACCCCGAATGAGGAACCAGAGGGGCCTTGGGAGGGTTGGTATTCGAGAAATCGCTGGGCAGCATACCACTTGTTGCGTCCCGCGAGGAGGGAAGCGAGTGTTCCTTGCCCTGGACGTCGGGCGGCTGCTTGCTGGCGTCCCCCTCTGGTCTCTCTTCTCCCTCCTCCTCCTCCTCGTCTTCATAATCAGGGAGCAAACCAAGTCCCGGAGTCTTACCAAGGGTCGCTCTGGCGGGCTCCTTTCCTGCTCTGTCAACGCTGGTGAGCAAAGTGGACGTGGAGGGCTGTACGTGGGGCACCTGGGAGCCCTTCGCTCTCTTAGCCTCTTGGCCCTCTGCGTCCGGCGCCTTCCTCTTGGCAGACTGAGGCACCGCGCTGGCGGACGGCCCCTGGCTGGCCTCCTTTGCGCCTTTCAGCTCGGCCACTTTCTCCCGGTGCAGCTTTCCCAGGACGTGAGTCTGCCACAGGAGCTCGCTCTTAACCGGGGTGTTACACAGTGCACAGCTCAGCTGCCCCAAACGGTTGTACTTGGCAAACGGAGATTCTATACGTTTCCTGTTGGTGCTCAGACGCTGCTTCTCCTTCATCAGCCGCCGCAGTTCATCCTGACTCACCACTCGCTTCCCGGCCGAAGGCCGAGCCGAGGCGGACGACGCCATCTTTGCGACTTGCCCAAGGCGTTTCTGGCTTCCGGTTTGGCGATGCCTGATAACGTCACTTCCTGTCTGGGCGAGGATTGGCTGAGGCTCCTGAGCGTAGTCGTTGGCGCCGGGTTTTGCCTCAGAATCGTTGCCGAGGCTGTTGTTGCTGGTCAGGTGGTCTTTCAACTGTCCTGCCATGGCCGCGATAAAGGCGATAAACGCCAAGGCCGAGGTGGCGCGAGCCCAGGCGGCGTTGGCGGTCAATATCTGCGCTGCCCGAGGGCTGCAGGATGTGCTTCGGACCAATTTGGGTCCCAAAGGCACCATGAAAATGTGAGACAGCGGTTGGAGCGGCGGTTAGGGCGCCGGGGGCAGGCAAACGGTCCGTCAAGAGCCGTGTGAACACACGTGTGGCCTGGTTTCCCTCATTTTCATTCTTGCCCTGCGGTCATCTCTAGTCCGGTGGAGGAGGAGGAGAAAAGCCTCCCCAAGGAAAAGGCCCCACGAGTGCAGAAGCTTTAATTCCCTATCCCGCCCCACCCACTTTTCGTTAAGGTTCACATGTAGTTACGAAGTTCATGTAGTGTTTCATATGAAACGTAAGCCATCTAACGCCGCTGCCCTCTAAGACTAACTGCCTATCTGCCCTTCGTTGTGGTTTTGTTTGGGCGTGTGTTGTAGCGGAGAGGGCACGGGCTTTGGAGCCTGGCCGGCGTGGGTTCAAATCCAAGTTCCTGCTCTCGCTGCGAGGCCTTAGCAAGTTACCTGGATGCTCTGTGCCTAAAGATTCTTCATACCTGTTCATCCTATCAGCATGTATTTAGCACCGTTATTTAGGAGAGAGTGAGGGAAAGAGACTAGTGAGGACGGAAAGGTGTAAGAGGAGGGATACATTCTCAGGGGAATGAGCAAAATAAATTAACAATAAAAGAGGGTGCTTATTATATACTAACTGGGGTGCTGAGAACACAGAGATGACCAAGATAAAATTTCAGTTTTGTTAGAAATGAATGTGATGTACGAGTATGTACTATGTAATAGGTAGTATGTATCTTGAAGTATGTGGCTTGCTTTATATTTTTAATCATCTAATAATATACTGAGGAAAGGGACTAATTATTGACAGGGAAGGAAAAGACTCAAGTAACAGTTGATTTTTTATCCTGGTCTTGAAAGGTGAGTTAGGGTGCACATTGAAGAAGTAAGGTCTTGTAGATAGAGCAGTTTCAAGAACAAGAAAGCCAATTGGTGTTAATCCAACAGAAATAAAAACAAACATAATGTATTAAGGGAACCACAAGATTTCATTTGGTAGATGAGACATTTAAATAGACAGAAGCCAGCCCTGGCTGGTGTGACTCAGTGGATTGAGTGCCGGCCTGAGAACCAAAGGGTCACAGGTTCAGTTCCCAGTCAGGGCACACGCCTGGGTTGTGGACCAGGTTCCCAGTAGGGGGCATGCGAGAGGCAACCACACATTGATGTTTCCCTCCTTTCCCCTCTCTCTAAAAGTAAATAAATAAAATCTTTAAAAAAAAAATAGATATAAGCCATATTGGAAACAATCAACTCTGTCATTGCTAAATAGTTTGAATTTTACCCTGAAAATGATGGAGGACGTGAAAACCGTTGAAGGATTTTTGATCAGGAAACTGATTCAGTCATACTGTGTTTTAGAAAGATAAATGGAGGGTAGATTCAAGTTCAGAGCTATCTGGATGCTAAATAGTCCAGACTGCAGATGGTGATGATAGTGGGAATGGAGAGGAGGGGGTTTGAAGCAGCTTTTGGTTTGTAGAATTGACAGAATTTGATGATGTAATAAATATGAGGGATGAAGAAAGGAACTAAATTGAGCAAATGAATGGTAACACCATATTTTTATTTCAACAAAATAAAAAAACCTGCAGGAAAAAATTCACAACCTGGGGGCTTGCAGACTTCCAAGGACTCTTCTTGACCAAACCTCTGTCATCACTTACCAGCTACTCTTATTCTTAAACATGTAAACGTTCTGTTTGGAATGAAATTGCCACAGCAATCCATCTGGGGGAAAGTGATTCTGTGGGCTGCAAATGATGGTACTCAGTGTGATACCTCCCCATGGTGCGGGGGACGTTTTCCTAGCCCAGCTCTGTATGATAAGGATAATGGTAAGGTAACGATAAGGATAACAACCCAAGCCCGGCGAGTGTTGCTTGAGTCTTGCGATATGAAGTTAATAACACCATTGTTTCCTGAACAGGCTAGTTTCTGGTGCAGGTGACATCAAACTCACCAAAGATGGCAATGTGCTGCTTCATGAGATGGTGAGCTGCTGCTGCTGCCTTGAATAAACCTTGATAAGACTTAATCTAGAACACTATGCAATTTGTGTATATTTAAACCAAGGCTGACAACTAAACATTGCAACCATGAGATACACTTGTTGGATTAAACCTCAAAAAATGTTTTTTGGCTGTTTTCAAATCTTTGTACAGTTCAAGTAATAGCTTAGGGATACTTCCAAGTTAGTTGCATCTTTTAAAGACACTGCATTATGTTCTTCATAATCATGGAAAAGTAAAAAATCCTTTGCAATTTTAGTAAATATATAACTCTTCAAGATTGAAGGATTTAATCTAATTTTGGAAATGTCATTGCATTCTGAAGCAAAGATAAAATGTTCACATCTCATTAGTTCTCAACTGTTAACTTTTGGTCTTGACATTAAGTGTTGATAATATGAAACATGTGAACTTGTAGAATGAAGCTTATTTTATTTCTTAATTTTACTGTTGACTCAGGTAATCTTGTTGTGGCAGACTATTTCTTTATTTTATTCTCTGTCTTTTAAAATCAGTTGCTTGCTTTTCCAGCAAATTCAACACCCAACAGCTTCGTTGATAGCAAAAGTAGCAACAGCCCAGGATGACATTACAGGAGATGGTACTACTTCAAATGTGCTCATTATTGGGGAGTTACTAAAACAAGCTGATCTTTACATTTCTGAGGTATTAAAATTTCATAGAATTCACATTTATGTGGTACTTTATTTTGAATGGAAAGTTGATTTTTTTTACACTAGTAAAATGGTTTAATTTTGGAGGGCAAAGGTTAATGTTTATGGAAGTGTTTTTTTGATGTTATAAATGAAAATAATAATGAACTTTTTTTTGCCAAACCAACGTATTTTATTGGAATTATATACCTCTTTTTAAAGTGAAAAATTTAAGATATTTAAAAAGGTAAAAAATTAGCCATGTACCCATGACTAATGGCCTAAGAAAGAAAACCTCACAAAGTATGGTTTTAAAAAAATAATTGGAAAAAATTATTATTTTTAAAATTAAATTTATTGAGGTGACATTGTATGTTTCAAGTGTACAGTTAGTTCTATAATACATCACCTATCTATCGCACTGTGTGCTCACCACCCAAAGCCTGGCTGCTTCCTGTCAACACATATTTGGCCCCACTTTTACCTTCTTCATCCTCTCCCCCTTCCCCCTCAGGTAACCACCATTCTATTGTCTATGTCTGTGAATTTTTTTGTTTTGCTTTGTTTGTTGCTTTCTGTTTTATATCCCACATTATGAGTGAAATCATATGGTTCTTGTCCTTTTTCATCTAACTTATTTTGCTTAGTATGATACTCTCAAGGTCCATCCATGTTGCAAATGGCAGCATTTTATCCTTTCTTATGGCTAAGGAGTAGCCCCTGGTATATATCTGCCACACTTTCTTTATCCAATCACCACTGGGTTGTGTTCAAGTCTTGGCTACTGTGAATAATGCTGCAGTGAACATGGGGGTACATATATCTTTAAGAATAAATGTTTTCAAATTTTCGGGGGAGATACTCAGAAAGGAGATTGCTGGGTCATGTGGGAAATCTATTCTAAATATTTTGGGGAGCCTCCATATTGTTTTCCGTAGTGTCTATACCAGTTTGTGTTCTCATCACATCTTTTCTAACACTTGTTATTTCTTGTCTTATTGATAATAGCCATCCCAACAGGTGTTGGGTAGTATCTCATTGTGGTTTTGATTTGCATTCCCTTATAGTTAACAAAGCTGAGCATCTTTTCATGTATCTGTTAGCCATTTGTATATCTTCTTGGGAAAAATGTTCAGGTTCTTTGCCCGTTTTTAATTGGATTGTTTGCTTTTTTTGTTGTTAAGTGGTATGAGTTCTTTGTATATTTTGGGTTTTAGCCCCTTATCAGAGGTATTGTTTGCAAACATCTCCCATTTGGTTGGTTGCCTTTTTGTATTGTTGATGGTTTCTTTCCCCAAGCAGAAGCTTTTTAGTTTGATTAGTCCCATTTATTTATTTTTGCTTTTACTTCCCTTGCCTTTGGGGTCATGTTCATAAAAGCCTCTGAGCCAAAGGTCTATAAGTTTAGTACCTATGTTTTCTTCTACATGTTTTATTGTTTCAAATCTTATATTTAAGTGTTTAATCCATTTTGAGTTAATTTTTATGTATGGTGTCAAGTAGCAGTCTAGTTTCATTCTTTTGCATGTGGCTTTCCAGTTTTCCTAACACTATTTATTGAAGAGGCTTTGCTTTTGGAGAAAAATTATTGAAGGCTTTCCACATTGTGCATTTACCTACCTTTCTAGTTATATTTCCCTTTATAAACTCCCTGCTGTAGTCAGACTCCTCCATTCACTAGCCTCTGAAATCATTACAGATATTTCTACCTCTGTGCCTCTGTTCAACCTGTATTCTTTTCTTGGCATTACTTATCTGTGTTCTCTAATTAAGTATTTGAATTTTCCTCTCTTTCAAGGAGCATTTCAGCAAAACACAGCCTGGTCAAAGTGCTAAAATTATTACTTCTTTGTGTTTCATTTAGTATTGGGAATTGTCTATTAATTTAGTACCTTCAACTTACTTCAGTAAGTTGGCTGTTAGCAGTAGAAACTTGACTAAAAGTCACTTAAACAATAAAGACATTATCTGCCATAACAAACATAGTGAGATAAAGCAGCCTTCCAGGGCCAAACGATTAAAAAATTGAGTCATTTATTAAGTACCCAGGTCCTTTCTTCTGTTAGCTCTTCTATTTACCATGCTATTTCATCATAAGACTTACTTTCATCCTGACTGTAGTAAGACTGTCAGAGGAAACCAAGGCTACCTTCTTCCCTTCGTAACACTCGGCAGGAGAGGGCAAGAGAATGTCGTTCGCCGAACCGTGAAACACAAGTCCTTACTTTATGTGATTGGGTGAACTTTGTTTTTTTGCCATCCCAAACCAGTAACAATCTTTACGGAAACTGACTTAATCTAATCAGAATCCACCCCTGGAACGAGGGGTAGGTCTGGCTTCTTCCGTAGCACTGGAGGAAGAGGCCCACCCAAGCGAGATCAGGACCGGCTTAGGAGGAAAGAGGCTGGGAAGGGGGCAGTGCTGACAGACACTGACGTAATTGTGAAACTGTGTGGCAGAACAGCAACCGAGCTGGACGTAGGATGTAATACAAACACCGAGGGAGGGGTGCCCTAAGCTAGTCTGAGGTCGTCAGGGGGCACTTTCTGGAGGAGACAAGGCGGGGGCTGAATCTTTCCGATGAGAAAGAGCGAGCCAGTGAAAGAGTGAGGGGCGAGGAGAATGGCGTTCTGGGCAGAAGGAAGAGCGTGAGCGGGGCGCAGAGGAGAGGGGTGACGCAGCCTGTGTGTAGAGCTACAGGAAGTTCGGTGTGGGAGGGTTCAAAGTGGTGTGGACAGTAGGGACTAGGCGGGAGAAGGAGGTGGGAGCCAGATCATGGGAGGCATGTAGTACACTAACCAAGACCACGATTCATATTAACATACCACTGACTGATGTGGTCAGAATAGCATTTTAAATGTTTGGGGGACAGCTTTAAGGGAGCCAAGACTGGAAGTTTTCGGAGTAGTCTGGGTGAAGAATTGAATGTCCTAGACAGGGCCATGTTTTGAAAATGGTTAATAACAGGCTCTGGAGGCAGGCCTGTGGGTTTAAATCCTGGTTCCACTTCTTATTTGCCTACTGATCTAGGGCAAATGACGTTATCCCTTTAAGCCTCAATTTCCTCATCTGTGAAACAAGAATAATAATAGCAAGTCCCACTTCATGGTGTTGAGAGGACTACATGTAATAATACATGTAAAGCTCTTTAGTGCCTGACACAAATGTTCAATAGATGTCAACTTTCAGATACTGTTATACGACTAATGTAAAGGAATGGAGACAATAAATCAGACCTAGGTCCAGCCTCAATAAGTTTGTGTATTACTTTTCAGAAGAAACAATACTGTTTTTTCAAAAAAATATTTTGTTATAATGTCAGACCTATAGAAAAGTTGCAAGAATATTCCAAAGAATAACATTTTTCTCTCTTAGATAAATGTGTATGTGTGTGTTTAAACATGTAGTAATGGACATATTTTTTTCTGAATGCTATAAGAAAAAGTTGCAGAGGTTTTGGCCGGATAGCCCAGTTGGTTAGAGCATCGTCCCAATATGCCAAGCTTGCGTGTTTGATCCCTGGTCAGGGTACATACACAAGTCAACCAATGAATGTATTTATAAATAAGTGGAACAGCAAATCAGTCTCTCTCTCTCTCTCTCTCTCTCTCTTTCTCTCTCATAAATACATAAATAAATAAAACTATCTTTTAAAAAAGAGTAAGTTGCAGATATGACAATCTAAATATTTAAGTGTAGATTTCTTAAAACCAGGGAATTCTCTTATAGAATTCAGTATAGTGATCAAAAACAGGAAATTTATATTAACACTGACACATTGATACAGATTTTATTCAAATTTCATCAGTGTCCTTTATCAAGTTCCAACAGTGTCCTTTATAGAAGAAGAACATCCAGGTCCATGCTTTGCATTCAGCTGTCATGTCTCTTTAGTCTCCTTTAAGGTGAGCCACTGTGTTTCATGATAGTGTTATTTTTAAAAAAGCAGGCCAGTTATTTTGTAGAAATTCCCTCCAATTGGATTTGTTTGTTTCCTCAGATTAGACTCAGGTGATAAACTTTTGGCAGGAATACCATGTAAGTGCTGTAGTGTTCTTAATGCATTCTATCACAAGGAGCGGGTTTGGTTCTATTACTGCGATGATAACGTTGAACATTTATTGAAGGTGATGTCCGTCTGCCAGTTTTCTTCAAGTCAGTGATGATTCTTTTCCTCTGCAGGAAAAGGACTTCTTTTGTGCCCATTCTGAAGGGCACCACATGATAACAATGTCACAATTTTCAGAAATAAAAAGAACTTACGTAGTTTTTTTTTTGTACTGGACTTAGAATTTTTCTGTAAGTTTGAGATTGTTTTAAATGTGAAGCAATGAAAAAATTCTACAAATTATATACATACACTTCTATTTAGTGACATTGATGTGAATAATATTACTTTTTTTAGACATACCTACTAATAGGAAAGGATAGGTACTTTTATTTTGCATAACTTTATAACGTGTAGTTTTATGTTGTTCTAATAGGGCCTGCACCCTAGAATAATAGCTGAAGGATTTGAAGCTGCAAAGAAAAAAGCACTTGAAGTTTTGGATGAAATTAAAATAAAAAAAGAGATGAAAAGAGACATCCTTTTAGATGTGGCTAGAACATCTCTACAAACTAAAGTTCATGCCAAACTGGCTGATGTGTTAACAGAGGTATGTGATTAAATTTATGTATTCAGAAAGAATATAGTCTGACACATGATATTTTTCTTTTTCCTATAAAATAACCAACTATTGCATGTGGTTCTTTTGAACGTAAAATAATATATAAAATATGGAAGATGAACAAATATTAATAGGCTTGCTTACTGACTAGATTTGATTGGTCAGAACAGTAGGTATAATTTTTTTCAGAAGTATCACATGGGGGTGATGTACTGGTCTCTTAACCCTAGAGGTCCATATGCACTATGTGAGGTGACACACGGGGAAGTTGTTTTGGCAGTGTGCTTTACACTTCAGTGACGCCTGACTGACCTTATAATACTCACACCTGGGAAATGCATCATTTGTTTTGATTACTTCTAAACGTAGACTGTATATAAGGACAAGAGTAGGTATTTGGGGAAGCCTTTTATCAGGGGGCTATACTTTGGTAATATCAGTGTTTCTTAGCTTTGTAGTTTCTGAAATTTGAATATATTAATGTATCAGGAGTGATGAGTTCATAACCAAATTCACAAGACATTGACATGTAAATCAGAATGCTATCATGCTGATTTGCTTTGAGAAATATAAATACCTAATGGACTGGAACACCTGAGTTGCTTCTGGTTAGTTCTCCTTACCAATAGGAAAACCTAGTTGGGAAATCAGATTAAAATCGGAGAATTTCATACTGAGTAGAGTCCGGATAAGGACTGTTGTGTTTTCTGCTTTTGGACACACATATCAAGTAGATCAGAATCTTCCTGCTCTCTGGTCAGGGCCTCCACTCTTTTTGGGAGTTACAGAAACACATTCTCTCTCTATCCAATATTTTTTGTTGTTATTCCCTAGTAGGGTCCAAAATCAAATATTCTGTTACATTAAGTAAACTTTTCTAAGTTTTTTTGCTTTATTTATATTTTAAGGATGGTTATACTGTAGCACTTAATTTCTATAGTCATTTATATTTCTGTAGCTATTTCTGAGCTAAGTAATAGGGTGTACTGTGCTATGCTTCTGAGATTGCATATTCCTGGGGATATTTGGGAGAATAAGTGAGGCACATCTTTCTGGAGTGTCAATTTTTACTTTATGATTTTGGGGGAAAAGCATTATTTTCGCATTAAGCCATACATGTATATTTAATTGTATGACATAGAAAGTTTTCATGATAAAACACAAGACTTAAAATTTTCATATTGTTATAGCCAGCAAATTTGAGCTGTACCCTTATGTTACATCTTCTTTTCTCTTGAGGTGTCCTTTGGTAGAGAAGTCTGGACAGAGTTGGTAAATAGTAGAAAGAGCAGTGGCTTGGCAGTTCTGGAGACCTGAAATCTAGTCCTGCTACTGCTGTTTAGACCTTGTTTTAAGACCGTAACTTCTCAAAGTCTTATATTCGTTTTCTTATCTGTATATTAAAGGGTTTGGACCTGAAGATCTCTGAAGTCCCCGAGGCTGTAATTACCAGTGTCCATGACCAAGTGGCACTTTTTGGAGCCTAAAGCTCTTTATCTGCTTAGTCTGGTGATAGATTACTTGGGCCAGTGGGTTTTTTTTTTTTAGTAAACCAAGTAATTTACTGTTCTCATTCACTTTTTTTTTCAGGCTGTGGTGGATTCTGTTTTGGCTGTTAGAAGACCGGGTTATCCTATTGATCTCTTCATGGTAGAAATCATGGAGATGAAGCACAAATCAGAAACAGATACAAAGTAAATTACATAAAATTTGGCAATACATAGATTCTAGAATATTTGGTTACCTTCAGATATTCTTTCATTGATTTCATTAGTTATTCATTCAGCATTTGTTAATTGGATACTTACCAGAGCCAGTCACTGTTTTAGGTGCTAGGAATGAAAAGTAAACAAAACAGAATTTCTTTCTCCAAGAAAGTTACATTTCTAGTTGGAGATAGTGAACAAATAAGTGATAATAAGTGCTATGAAGAAGTTAGAGTGACTGTGTGTGTAAGCATGTGTGTGATTTAAAGAGACATGACACTAGAGAGCTAAGGAGATCTCTGAATAGGGGAGCTAGCCCTGCGGATACCTGGAAGAAGGGTCTTCTAGGCCGAGGGAATCATAGTTGAAAAGGCCCTGAGGCAGAAACGTGCGGGACTGTCACGCTGTGCCTGGGGCAGAGTCCGGGGGGAAATGGAGACGATGAGGCCCGAGAGCTCAGAGGGCCGTGCGCCTCGCATCGCCCGACTGCGGACGCCCTCAGAGTGTGTGGCAGCTGGTTGATTTGGGACTTAACTCATTTAAAATTTTCTGTCATGGAAAATCCTACACATAGAGAACAGCAAAGAGCATAGAATAGCGCACTCCTCCGCACCTGCCGTTCACCCGTTTTCAGCCTGTAGCCAACCCTGTTTCCCTTATGGACTCCTTTTTCCCTGCCCCGGCCCCAGGCCTGGATTATTCGGAAGGCAACCCACATATCATATTTCATCAGGAAATACTTTATTTTTAATATATGTGTGTATATTTTTACTTATTTATAGAAGTTCTATTTGGTTCTTTCTTAAATTTGCCACATCACTATTCATGGTTTCCTATTCCTTGCATATCTCCTCAAACTTACATTTGATTTTTTTAAACATACAGTTCATGTCTGATAATATTTAAAGTCTGTCTTGTCTATTTATGGTGTTTATTGTATTTTGTTGGTTTTTACTCATCATACTTTGTTTCTGTATGTGCCATTTATTGTGTTTGAAAAAAGTATTTGTAGGAATAATTTGCAACCTAGGATGAAGGTCCTTTGCTGAACAGAGGATTTGAATTTGCTGCTGCAAGGAGTCCAGAGACTACTTTAAATTAAATACACAGCTTGAGGCTTTTGGGGACTATCCAGTTGTAGTACATTCTAACTGCAAATCCATGTGAGGGCTGCTGGCTTCTAGTTCACTTTTCGGTTTATACCCTGAGTTTATAGCCCACTGGGGTCCGCACTTATTGTGGAGAGGGGCTTCTATTATACTCTATCTTGGATGAACTCTGAACTTTAATTTCTGTCCCCTTCTCTTTGCGCGGTCATTGAAACGAAAGTTCAGATTTGCCTGAATTGTCAAATGACTTTACGATATGAGACCCCACAGTTCTCCAAGAGTTCTTGTTTTCTTTTCAGTTTTGAAAAGAAAATTATTTTGTAGCTCTTCCCCATCTTATAGCTTTCTAGTATTTTAAAGGGTTTTTTTTTCCTTTTTTGCTTTTAACCCAGTACTGTTTTCGGTAGTAGAAATAGTCCACATTAGCAATAGTACCGTTGCTGAGGGCAACAAGCTTTTGATTTATATTTCAGAAGGATCGCTGCGGTGGTTGTGCAGAGAATACACCGTGGAGTGTGGGGGAGGTGCAAGGGCAGAGGCAGGAAACCAGTCAGGACTCTGCTGTGATACAGGGGAGAAATGAAAATGGTTTAGATCAGGGTATACATAGAAGGAGCAAGAGCATTTCTTGATGGTTTGACATAGAATGTGACAGAAACAGAGGAGTCAGGGATGTCTCTTGGGTTTTTAGTAGAAGTGCCATTTCTTGGGATGGAGGAGCCTGGCAGGAGCAGGTTTGAGGAAATAAATCAAGGGTTCAGTTTGGGGAGTGTTATACTTTGGAAGCCTATTAGAGTTCTAGGTGAAGAGGTTGAGTAGAGAGTTGGAGAAATGTGTCTGGAGTTCAGAATAGTGGTCTGGACTGGAAATACGCATTTGGAAGTTATCAGTGAATGGACGACTTAAAGCTATGAGAGTTGATGAGATCATCTAGGAGGTAAATATAGACAGAGAAAAAAGGAAGTTTATGGACTGGGAACTTTGGGAAACACCCATATTTAGGACTGAAAAGACAAGGAGCATTCAGCAAAGGAGACTGAGACGGGGCGGTCTGTATAATAGAAGGAAAGCCAAGAGAGAGGTGCCCCAGACACTAAGAGAGAAAAGTATTTCAAGAAGGAGGATAATCAACTATGTAACATGCTGCTGAAATTTTGAGCAAATTGTTGTGAACTGAGAATTAACCATTAGATTTGGAAAACTTTTTTTTTTTTTTTTGGTAGCTTTAATGAAAGCTGATTTAGTAAAGAGGGTGGGCGTGAATGTCAGATGGAAGGTGGGCTCAAGGGAGAATGGTTTAGGAAGAAGTGAGGATGCAAATGTACACAACTCAGAGGAGTTTAGCTATAAAAGGGAGCAGAGAAATGGGGGAGTATCTAGAAGGGAATATGAGAATGGGGTCCAAGGTAAAGAATCCTTTGTTTTAAAGATGGAAACTATTACGGCAAGTTTGTATCCTGATGAGAACACTCCTGTCGGCAGAAAGACTTGATATGGGGGAATTGGGAACAGCGCAGGAGCAGAGAGGGGAAATGGAATATAGCAGACCAGTGAGGGGATTAACCTGAGAGAGGGGCATGGACAGTTCATTCTTAATCATAGGAGGTTCAGGTTCAAGTGCAGGTGTACTGGTAGAGGTAGTGATGGGACAGCATTTCATTTTTTCTTAAAGAAACATGGTCATTTGCTGAGAGTAAGGGTGGGGCATAGTAAAGGAGGCTTAAAGAGTGAAGAATATTGAATATGTAGTTTGTTTCTTCCTAAAATATATCTTCATGTTAAGAGTTAAGAGTAGTCTAGTTAGATTAAAACTTTGAAAACTTCCTTATGATTACATTTAACTGTTTACAAATTATGTCTTTAACGCATAACAAATATTGGTTATAAAGGATTCATAAGTAGAAGTGCCATTCCTAATTGGGCATAAACGAATTTTAGAGAGTTATAAAGATATTTACTCTTGAAGGAACATTTGGAAAAGAGGAAAAGAAGACCCCCCCCAACATTATCTCTATTTTTATATTCCTAACCACTTAAGCATAACCCTACTCTTTTAGCTTCCTTTCATTTTTTTTTTCTTTTCAATGCCATGGTGCTATTTTTTTTTTAAATCCTCACCTGAGGGTATGTTTATTGATTTTGGAGAGAGAGGGGAGGGGAGAGAGAGAAAGAAAAAAAAAGAGGGAGACATTGATGAGAGGGAGAAACATGGATCAGTTGCCTCCTGTATGTGCCCTGACCAGGGATCAAACCTGCAGCCTGGATATGTGCCCTGACCGGGAATTGAACTCGCGACCTTTTGGTGTGCAGGACAACGCTCCAGACAACTTATCCAACTGGCCAGGGCAGGGTGCTTATTATTATTTTTTTTTTTAAGAATAGTTATTATCGCCCTGGCTGGTGTGGCTCAGTGGACTGAGTGCTGGCCTGTGAACCAAAAGGTTGCCTGTTTGATTCCCAGTCAGGGCACATGCCTGATTCCCAGTCAGGGCACATGCCTGTGTTGCAGACCAGGTCCCAGTAGGGGGTGCATGAGAGACAGCCACACATTGATGTTTCTCTCCCTCTCTTCCTCCCTTCCCCTCTCTCTAAAAATAAATTTGAAAAATCCTTTTTTTAAAAAAGAATTTTTATTATGATGTTTTATATGCAGTTTGCTATTGTGTGCTTATCAGCTACCCCTATAAATATTTTCCCATGTTATTACATAGTTTTCATGACTGAAAAAGTTGGGCCATTATTTGCTGAACAATGCTTTATTGTTGGACATTGAGGTTAACATTTTAGTTGTTTCATATAATTATTTTGAACAAATGTTCCTAAGAAACTCATTGTGCACCTCCCTTTTATTACTTGATCAGCTGTGTCATTTGTTTGAGCACATAATTTAGAGGCTAATTCTAGGTTGATTTCATTGAGACTGAACAGTCACAGTGTGTTAGAGTAGATTATCATTTCTAATTTTACTAATTATGTGTTAGGATTAAAGTTGGTGCAAGGAAACAGTATGTGCCCTGGCAGTTCTGTTACAACTTTAAAGAGTATAAGTCTAATTTTATACCAAATTTTAGAGTGTATATTCAAAGAAAGAAACATTAAATATTTTTAATAGGTTGATAAGGGGATTAGTTTTGGATCATGGTGCCCGTCATCCAGAAATGAAGAAGCGAGTAGAAGATGCATTTATCCTTACTTGCAATGTATCGCTAGAATATGAAAAAACGTATGTATGTCATTTACTCATTGTAACTTTTGAAATTCTTTTTTCTGAAAGTGTTTTTAAATTTTTCTTCCGTCCCAAATGGTTAGTGTAAACTCCTACCTTTTCCTCCTCCTCCCACTGCCTTTACTAGCTTGCTTTTATTAATCTTTTAGAGAGGTTAGCTCTGGCTTCTTTTATAAGACTGCAGAAGAAAAAGAGACATTGGTAAAAGCTGAAAGAAAATTTATTGATGACAGAGTACAAAAAATAATAGACCTGAAGGACAAAGTCTGTGCACAGTCCAACAGAGGATTTGTTGTCGTCAATCAAAAGGTGAGAATAAAAGTTGAGAGTTTAACTATTTGTAAGTGTTCTTTGTTTTTCAAAGTGTGGTCTTTGGACCCCCAGGAGTCCTTAAGACCATTTCAGGGAGTTTGTGAGGTGAAGACTATTTTCGTAATACTAATACCAATGCGTTCCATGTCGCGTTGACATTTGCGATGGTGATGCAAACGTGGTGGCAGGCGCACTGCTTGGTGCCTTAGCACGAGCCAAAGCAGCAGCGCCAAATCCGCTGCAGCCGCCATTCTCTCTGCTGCCTCTCCACCACGCACTGGCATTTAAAGAAAAAAAGGCAGCTTCATTTAAGAATGTCTTAATGAAGTAGTAACACTTATTAATTTTATTAAATTTTGATCCTTAATTCTGTGTGACAAAATATGAAGTATGCACAAAACACATGCAGCATTTCAAAATAGGTCTTGAAGGAAAACTCTGGTGTGATTGAGTTTTAAACTAATCTAGCCACTTTTTTCATGCAATGCCATTTTTACTTGAAAGAATGACTGACAAACTATATTGCGACATGGATAGTTGGTAGATTTTTCTCAAAAATGAATGCGACAGTCTTGTCACTTCAAGGAAAACAACTGATAGTATTTGTTGCCGATGATAACATTTGAGCCTTCTAACAAGAATTAGAATTTTGGAAAACTTGTATCTGCTACTGTGAGTTTGACAGCTTTCCAATATTTAAAATATTTTTCTGATAATATTAGTGATGATATTAGCAAAGGTGATATTTTTGATATTGTATAACCATGAAATGTGTCAATATTTGGAAGCTCTGCCTAACTTAGTGAATCATTATTTTCTAAATGCCTTAAAAAATGCATGATTTTACAAAATATGCACAAGTAAATAATCAACTCGAAGTGCAAGATGGACAAATGGATTTTAATGTGAGAGAGTATGGAAAGTTTATAGATATGGTTCCATATTCCACATTGAAACTAACTTCTGTTGAATTTTCATATCAAAGAAGAATATCTACATATATCTGAAAAAGCTATTAAAATATTCCTCCATTTTCCAATACATATTTCTGTGAAACCAAGTTTTCTTCTTATACTTTAGCCAAAACAACATATTTCACCAAATTGGATGCAGAAGCAGGTATAAGACTCAAGCTGTTTTCTATTAAGACAGACATTAAAAAGATTCTCAAAATGTAAAACAATGCCACTACTCTCACTATATTTTTTGTTTGTTTAGGAAACTATTGTAAATTTTCATTTAAAAATTTTATTTATGTTAACATAAATAGGTTTCTTATATATTAAGTGGATTAATACATATTTTAAAAATTCTTCAGTTTTAATTTATAATATGATAAATATAGATACAGCTCATATAAACAAAAGCTCTTTGGGCTTTTAGTTTTTAAGAGTGTGAAACAGTACTGAGATCAAAAAGTTTTAGAACTACTGGCTTAAAACATGCTTGTAACTTTTGTGTTAATTTGATTTTAGGGAATTGATCCATTTTCCTTAGATATGCTTGCAAAACATGGTATAGTAGCTCTTCGCAGGGCAAAAAGAAGAAATATGGAAAGGTAAGCTTGCAGATAATTATGTGTCCTAAGTTTATTAACAGATTAAATGGAAACTATCCCATGTGCATTCCTTTTAGCTCATATATAAACATTGTTGAGCAAAATAGTAGTGTATCAATTTCAAATTATGTTTTTAATTTAATTTCAGTAAATAATGGAGCTGTTAAAAATCAAGATTAACCTACCTAAAAACTTTCTTGAAATACAAGGAAGGTTTTCATCTTCTTAAAACAGATTTTAAAAGCAATATAATACAGTGACAATGAAGTCTTTCATGTTAGGCATCTTTCACCTTTAAGAAATTTATGCTTTCCATAACGAAAGCTATGTTGACATATATATAATTTCAGACTCTCTCTTGCTTGTGGTGGAATAGCTGTGAATTCTCTTGAAGACCTTACTGTAGATTGCTTGGGACATGCTGGTCTTGTACATGAATATACATTAGTGAGTATTTCTGGGGGCAGTGGTTATTAAGTGAACAGAAACTGTTTTTTATTACTAAACCTTTTAATTTAGGTTTTACATTTTGAGGTCTGAATAATCCACAGGATAGATTTTACAGTGTATTTACCTAAATGTTTGTTAAGAGTTCAAATATAACTTAACTGCTTTTAACATGCATTTTATGCTTGACAAGTAAAATTCACATGAAGATTGGATTCTAATTTTATAAAGTAAAGGTCTTGACTGTATAATGATATTACATATTAAAATTATATATTCTTGTATTACCCTTTAGGGTGAAGAAAAATTCACTTTTATTGAGGACTGTGTTAACCCTCGCTCTGTCACCTTGCTGATTAAGGGCCCAAATAGGCACACTCTCGCACAGATCAAGGACGCTGTAAGGGATGGACTTCGGGCGCTCAAAAATGCCATTGAAGACGGTAAGTTCTTTTTTGTGATTGATGTGAACCTTTCTTATTTTTAAAGTGGTAATAAATCTCTCATGGTATGTACTATTTTAAAAGATATTAATGATAACTGTTTTCTCATTTCACTTTGGACAATTTATAGTTTGGATTGTGAAAGTTTTCCCCTTTGGGATATTCTTAATAGTATGCTGCTTTTTTAAGTGTCTTCTTGTTTATGAAATGAAAAAGCTCTCAATTTAATGCTATTGTATCAATTTTTATTTTTAATATCATGAAAAAGCTTTGACTGCTTAGAACTCAGTCCATTACCCTAGGTGCAGTGTAAAATATATGATTGTCTAACCAGTATGCTAATATAAAATAATACTGAATGTAAACTATAATTGAAAAAATTAAAAAAAAAATTGGGAAAGAATGTTAGCATTTATTATTTATTGTTAATTTATAATTAGTTTCCTTCTGAAAGGAGTTAGGATAGATAATTCAATAAAAACACATATGTTTAAAATAGAATAATAAGCACATGAAAAGATATCATTATCATTATCATTAGTCGTTAGGGAAATTAAAATCAAAACCATAAAGAGATACCACTTCATGTTAGGATGGCTATTGTCAAAGAGCTGGGCAATAATAAATAAATGTTGGAATCCTGATACATGGGATCTGGCACAAACACCACCTCTTTTTTTATTACAAAATCATAAGCATGTAATTCTGTAACATAACAATATCACACTCAAGCACACCATATGACATTTTAGGTGAAATGTTCAAATTAAAACTATAAATTATTGCGCCCATATTATTATGCTACCAGCCACACTCAAGCAGGTGTTACTTCTGCCGGACCCTGTATATAGTTGCTGGTCGGAACTGTTGGAAAACAGGCAGTTCCTCAAAAAGTTAAACATAGAGTTACTGTATTGCCCAGCAAATCAACTCTCAGGTATACATAAGAGAGTTGAAAACATATGTCCACATAAAAAACTTGAACACAAATGTTCACAGCAGCACTATTCATAATAACCAAAAAGTGGAATCAACCCAAATATCCATTAGCTAATGAGTGGATAAACAAAATGTGGTGTGTCCATACAATGGAGCATTATTCAACTGCAGAAAGGAGTAAATATTGATATATGGTACAACATGATGACTTTGAAAACATTATGCTAAGAATCTAGACACAAAAGGCTATATGTTATATGATTCCATTCATATGAAATATCCAGGAGAGGCAAAGCAATACAGAGAAAAGTAGATTAGTGGTTGCCAGCGGCTGGGGAAGAAGGAAATAGGGAATGACTGCTAATTGGCACAGGTGTTTGTTTTTTTTTTAGTGTTTAGTGATTAGATATGGGTGATGGTTGCACAACCATGGGAATATACTAAAAATTACTGAGAAGTATAACTTTAAAGGCTGAATTTTATCATATGCGAATTATATCTCAAAAAATTAGGGTAATAAACTTTATAAACAATAGACCAGATTTATCTGATAAATAAAAACATAGACATGAAATAATGGTAAAATGAAAGGTGAAATGGAAAATTAGAACCTAGGAAAATGGAATATAAATAATGTAGAGCAAACATAATTGTCACTATAAATATTTAAGCTGCCAGAACATAAAAAAGATACAATCAGTTATATAGGTTTCATTATGAAAAAGGAGAAAACACATCAGTTCCTATGTTGAAAAAATATGGGCATTCTATAAGGGTCACTGCCTCTTTTTTGTAGTCATTTTCGATAAAAGCTAGGAGCATTTTTACAACAAGATCAACATACATGATTTAGGCATGTAGCCTTTGGTAGTTCAATCTGATTCTTAGAATTTAGAATACACAAAAAATAAATTGACTAATTTTTAAAAATGCCTTCAAACACTTAGCTTTTAATAAATAATTTTATTGAGGTATAATTGACATATAATGGACTACAGTTATTTAAAGTATACACCCATGAAACTATCCCCTCAGTGAAGATAACGAACATATCTGTCATTCTAAAAATTTACCTCATTGCTCCTCAGTAATCCTTCCCCTCTGCTCTTCCCCTTGTCGCCTTATCCTCAGGCAACCACCAGTCTACTTTCTGTTACTGTAGATTAGTTTGCATTTTCTAGAATTTCATGTGAATAGAATAATGCATTCATCTGTTGATGGACATTTGGCTGTTTACAGTTCTTGGCTATGACATATAAAGCTACTATGAACATTTGTGTATAGGTCTTTGTATGGACATATGCTCTCATTTCTCTTGAGTAGATGCCCAGGAATGCAGTGGCTATGGAAGGCATATGCTTGATTTTTTAGAAACTGCCAGCCTGGTTCCCAAGTACCATCTTACATTACCACCAGCAGTGTATGAGTATTTTAGCATCCTCATTTGTAGTCAGTCATTTTAATTTTAGTCATTCTAAAATTTAAAAAAACCCAACTATGATTTCAATTAGCATTTTTCTAACAATCATTAATGTTAAGCATCTTTTCAGGTGCTTATTTGCTATCCACATACCTTTGGTGAGTTTTCTGTTCAAATTTTTGCCCTTTTAAAAAATTATGTTGTGTTCCTGTTGTTGAATTTGAGAGTTCTTTTTTTAAATTCTGGATACAAATCCTTTTTCAGATACATGATCTGCAAATATCTTCTCCTCTGTGACTTGTTCTGTTTTTTCTCTTAGCAGTATCTTTCAAAGACAAATTCTTAATTTTGATGAAGTCTAATTTATCAGTTGTTTTTCTTTAATGGATTATGTTTTTGGTGCAGTAGCTAAGAAATCTTTACCTAGACCAGGGTATACAGAGATTTGCTTCTATGTTTTCTTTTAGAAGTGTTAGAGTCTTAGGTTTTATATTTAGGTCTATGACCTATTTAAAGTTAACTTTTGTAAATGGTGCAAATTATGAATCTAAGCTCATTGTTTTGCATAGGTATCAAATTGTTCCAGCTGCATTTTTTTAAAAATGTATTTTTAAAGATTTTTTCTTTTTTTTTTTTAGAGGGGAAGGGAGGGAGAAAACAAGGGAAGAGAAACATTGATGTGCCAGAGAAACATGGATCAGTTGCCTCTCCCACACCCTCAAATGGGAACCTGGCCCTCAACCCTGGCATGTGCCTTGACTGGGAATGAGCCAGCAGCCTTTCGGTTCACAGGCCGGCAAGGGTGCCATTTGTTAAAAAGACTGTCCTTTCACCCACTGACTTGTCTTTGGGTCTTTGTTGAAAATTAGATGTCCATATTTGTGTGGGTTTTTTTCTGAGTTCTTTATTCTAAATAAATAGCCCTGGCTGGTGTGGCTCAGTGTATTGAGTGATGGCCTGTGAACCAAAGGGCCCCTGTTCAATTGCCTCATGAGAGGCAGCCACACATTGATGTTTCTGTCCCTCTCTTTTTCCCTTCCTTCCCCTCTCTCTAAAATAAATAAATAAAATCTTTTAAAAATAAAAATAAATAAATAAAATCTTAACAAAAAATCCCTAATACTGAGTCATTGTATATCTGTATTTATTTGGGCCTTCTTAAGTCTATTTCAGTAGTATTTTATAATTTTTAGTATATGAGCCTTAGACATCCTTTTTTTTTCCTTCCAGATTTAGTCTATGCCATGTTTTTTGATTCTGTCATACAGGGTATTTATAAAATTTCAATCTGATTGTTGTTAACATATAGAAATTTTGCCAATCCCTGATCTAGGTTTTCAAGTTTAATGGCATAAAGTTGCCCATAATATTCCCTTATTATTCTTATAATATCTGTAGAATCTGTAGTGATATTACCTTTTTCATTTCTGACATTGGTCATTTTTATTTCATTGATTTCCACTCTGATCTTTACTGTTTTCTTCTTCTTACATTAGGTTTAATTTGCCCTTCTTTTTATAGTTTATTAAGGTAGAAGCTGAGGTCATTGGTTTGAGACACTTTTTATTTTCTAATATAGATGTTTAGTGATATAAATTGCTCTTTAGGCACTGCTTTAGTAGCATCCCACAAATTTTGATATGTTGCATTTTCACAGGAGAATGGGAGAAGTAAGTTTTCAAAGTTAAGGGTAATGCTCTATCTCTTAAGCTGGGTAGTAGGTAGATGGGCATGTGCATTTGTACGGGTATTCTTTATACCTTATACATAAAAATATTTTTTGTGTGCTTAGTACTTAATAAGGAACTTTTAAATAGTGTCAGTGGTAGGTGAGGATGTAATCGCTGTTGGATAGACAACTCTTTTGAGCAGAGAAAGGGGATTAAAAATGGTGTAGGATAAAAGGAGAGATTTATGTGTATGTGTGTGTTTTGTTTTAAAGATGGGTGATTTCAAAGCAAGTTTTTGTGAAAAGAAGGGTCATGAACTTTATAAAACCATATGAATAGGTATAATGTCCTATGCTGATATGAAAGTGGGTTTAACCAGAGCTTTTGCCTTAGAATAATAAGAACAGCTAGTTTCCCCCTCCTCCCCACACAGCAGTTTGAGTTCTGCTGCCCTACAGCGAACAAATACTCACTGAGTCCCAAGAATTGCCTACCAAAAACTGTGGCCTAATTATCTTGTCCCCCTAAAATTAGATATTACATTTAGTTTCCTGCCACTGTAAGTTATAAGTAACTACATTTTAAGTGTAGTCATAAAGGAGTATGGTGAAGGTAGAAGAAATGTCTACTTGTATTTGCCAGAGGATAAACAATGAAATAAGCTATGTGTAGCCAGTTGTCTGTATCATGCTTAATTATTTAGTGCTGTATAACTTCAGGATGCATCATAAGACATCTGAGTAATCACTGAGCTGTGCAACTTATTTTACTTCTGTATAATTTAAATATATTTTAGATGTAGACAAGATAATAAAACACACTTGAATAGCGCGTTGCAAGATAATAAAACACACTTGAATAGCTCATTGCATTTTTCTCTCGTTTTTCTGTACGGCTTGCTCTGCCCATCATTTTTTCCCTCCCATAGGTTGTGTGGTTCCAGGAGCGGGTGCAGTTGAAGTGGCAATAGCTGAAGCTCTTACTACGTACAAGCACAGCATAAAAGGAAGAGCTCGTCTTGGGGTCCAAGCGTTTGCTGATGCCCTACTCATTATTCCTAAGGTACAGCTATCTGAATGGCCCCCAAACAGCTGGTTAGACATAAGGTGTTTAATTATAAATGGCTCATATTGCCTAAGAGTTAAGAAAATAGAAGGCAGATATTTGCATTTCCTCATGTAGTTTTGTCTAAGGTATTTTACAGCTAAAACAGGGAAACTTTTGGAATAACAGCTCAGAATCCTTGTAGGAGTTTAATGAAACAGCCAAGTTACCCACCTTGTTTTATTCTCTGAATTCCAAAAGTTGCAATAACTCCAACAATTTTCTTTAAAAATGCTTCTTGATTAATGAATTATCATTAAAAGTTTAGAATTTAAGATTTAATTAGATTTTAGTGTATACTTTTATTTTGTTGGTGGTATCCAGAGTATTATTATCACTTTAAATTGTGCAAAGTGAGAACTTAGGCTGTTTAACACTCCTAAATACTAGTTTGCATCCCATTGTCATTATAATTCCTAGAAAAGTAGAGAAACCAGATTTTTTTCATGTATCAGAAGGACAGAGAACTACCATTTCTTTTCCTTTGCCTTAATCTGGTGGTGAACCACTTAGAAGCATAGAAAACTGTTTCAAATATGCTATTAACCATGAATTAAAACATTACTAGCAATGTTAGTGAATTCTCTTTGATAATTACTTTAAAACTATTCATAATTTATAGAATCTTTGTAATTCAGAAATTATTTTTTTCTTTGCTCAAAGCAGCAGAGTCAGTGAGTAATGATCTTAGAGTTGACACAAACTGGTAAACCTAGTATGCATCGGTCACACCTTTTCACGCATCAGCTTTTGGCTCAGGACCACTTGCAGATGCAGCTGGTTTGGAGGGCAGGCATCTCCGTCCCTGTCGCCGCAGGCCGCGACCCCCCATGTCAATGCTGCTGCACATATGTAGGTGTCCTTTTGCCAAGTGCCCGGAGAAAAACCGGGAGATGTGTGGCCAGAGGGACTAGAGGAAACAAGAATGCCATTCTACTTCCTTTCATGTCTTTCGTTTTTAAAATCTTTTGCAAGGAGGGAAATTAAATTAATGGGGTGGGGGTGGGGGAACTCTAATGTCCTCAGAATTTAGTGTGATGTACACAGGGAAAATGTTTAAGTAAGTATAAAAAATGCTAGGTATACAAAATAATAATTTTAGATTAAGAATGAAATTATTCAAAAGAAGATGTTAGTATATTATGAATGTGTTTTTACAAGACTAAGAGCAGTGTCTTACTTTTTTATATTTGATATTCAAATATATGTGAAGGTATTCTACACATGTGCTTATTATTATTTTTATTTCTAAAGGTTCTTGCTCAGAATTCTGGTTATGACCTGCAGGAAACACTAGTAAAAATTCAGGCTGAGCATTTAGAATCAATGCAACCTGTTGGCATCAATTTGAATACAGGTAAGAAAGTGAAGAAAAATTAGCTGCTTAATAAAAAGGTTATACTGTAGTGACCTAGAATTTACAGTAAGTGGGTAGGGATTTTGGATTTTAATATTTAAAATTTGGGTGCCTTTTAGTTTACTTTTGAACTTTTTGAAGTATTCATTTATTTAAATAGTCATTCAGTGCTTGTTATTTGATTCTTAGGATTCACACAGAACAAAACAGACAAAAATCACTGCCCTTGTGAGCTTATGTTGTAGTGGGGAAGGATAGACAATAAAAAATAATCTAAGTAAATAAGTTATTTTCAGCATTTTTAAAAGTAATACATTCTATGAAAAATAAAATAACAGTCTAAGGGTGATTGTGAATGCTAGCTCAGGAGGGTGGGGAGGAGGGCTTCAATTTAAAGACGGTCAGGGCAGGCCTCATTATGAATATGCCTATTGGAAAAAAAGAGGCGAGGAAGTTAGCTATGTGGGGCACTTGGGGAAGATGCTAGGGAGAGGGAAGGACCCAGTGGGAAGTCACCATCTGATAATTCTGAGGAGGAAGAAGGAGGTGAGGGAGGCAGTAGTAGCTCAGGTTATACAGGCATATGGGCCAGTCTAAGGACTTGGGCTTTTTTTTTTTTTTAAGAAAATACTTTATTTATTTATTTATAGAGAGAGGGGAAAGGAGGGAGAAAGAAAGGGAGAGAAACATCAATGTGTGGTTGCCTCTTGTACGCCCCCAACTTTGGGGACCTGGCCTGCAACCCAGGCATGTGCCCTGAGAGGGAATCAGACTGGCAACCCTTTGGTTCTCAGGCTGGCGCTCAGTCCACTGAGCCACACCAGCCAGGGGAGGACTGTGGCTTTTATTGCAGTAGAAAAGGGAGCAATTTTGAGCAGAGGTGTGACATGGACTAACTATATTTAAAAGAATCACCAGCTACTCTGTGGAGAGGAGTTAACCGAACAACTGGAAGGTTAGGATTGCCATTGGAGAAGACTGTGGGCAAGCAGGTTTTATTGGGGGGCGGTGATCAGCACTGAGCTTTGGCGGATGAAGCGTGCAGTATCTGCAGACTTCCAAGTAAAACAGACAGTTGGATGTATGAGTCTGGAGCTCAAGAAAGAGGTCTGGGTTGGAGGTATAAACTTGACAGTCATGAGGGTGTACGTGGTTTAATTCCAGGAAACTGGAGGAAATCACCTGGAGTGAGTGTAGAGGGAACGGCCCAGGGCTGAGCCCTTAGGCGCTCCTGCAGTGGGAGCTCAGGGAAGAAGGGGAAGGACCTGCAAAACAGACAGGAAAGGAGCCAGGCCAGCGTGCTGTCCAGGGAGACAGGGGAAGGAAGAACAGTCTGGGAAGTGTGATCCATTGTGTTAAGTGCTGCTGACAGAGGAGGCCTGAGAATCGACCCCTGGATTTGACAAAATGGAGGTCAGTGGTGACCGTAACAATAGTAGTTTTGGTGTATTAACTATAGTTAATTGTATTAACTATTGTTAGGATATACAACAAATATTAACAATATATCAACACTGTAGTATTAAAATAGTTTGTGTTTACTTTGCAGGTGAGCCAATGGTAGCAGCAGATGCAGGAGTTTGGGATAATTATTGCGTGAAAAAACAACTTCTTCACTCTTGGTAAGTTTGTATTAATAAAAGAGAAAGACTTCTGGGGACATAATTGATACATTACATTTTTTCCATTATTTTTGCCACCCTAGAGTGGAAATATTGTAAGTCTATTGAAAGTCATGGTATTCAGCTATTAAGACTGACTTCTGTCTTTTTATAGTCCCTTTAACATTTTAGTTCTAGCAGTGTAAGTTATAGGAAATGTTGCTCTTACTGTTTATTTGAGGGGGAATGGAAAGAAAGGACTTTATTGAAATAGTACCACATGCATAGTGGGGAAAAAGTTGAATGATGTGCAAAAATGAGGCCAGTTTTGCTGGAAAATGCAATCAGGCTTCCACTTTATCAGTGAAAGAATTGAAATGATAATACCAGGGTGCTGTTTGTATGTATAATAGCTCTGTCTCATAAAATCTCACAGCAACGTCACTGAAAAACAAGAAGCTGTGGTATCTGAATCTGCTATGGGGAAAAGATAGGAGTGAACGGGTAGGTTTTACTCACCCTGTCATCTTTTTCTTCAGCACAGTGATTGCTGCAAACATTCTCCTGGTTGATGAAATCATGCGGGCTGGTATGTCTTCTCTTAAAGGGTGACTGAGTTCCAAATCAACTCTTCTAGAAGCTGAGATTTGGCACATCTTACATCCAACCACCTTTATATAGCCTGAGCCATTCTGAATTTTTACACAATAAATGCAGTTTATATCTGTTGGTCTTAGTAGTCTCAAAAATATTTCATGAAGGTATAAAGAACATAAGACTTTTTTTTTTAAGATCGTACATATTTAATTTTAGAGAGAGAGGAAGGGAGGAAGAGAGAGAGGGAGGGAAGCATCAATGTGAGAAACATCGATCAGTTGGTTGCCTCTTGCATAGGCCCCGACTGGGGCTGGCCCACAACCGAGGCATGTGCCCTGACGGGGAATTGAGCCAGTGACCTTTTGCATTTTGTGGTGACGCCCAACCAACTGAGCCACACTGTTCCAGGGCCATGAGAACTATTTTTACAATCAAGGAATAATAATGAAAATATTTTCCCCTAAGAGTTCTAACGCCCCACCCTTTATTGTATATGTGATGTTATGATATAATAAGGTACATATTTTCTGTGCCCGATGCTTCAAAAGAGAAGCCAATGTTCGATAGATTGGAGCTTTGGAGTAAGGAAAGGTTTACTGATCAAGAAGGTCTAGCTCAAGGAGATGGGAGAACTAATTCTCAAATCCATCTTAAGAGAATGGATTCCTGCATCTTTTATAATTAAGGGAAGGGAGGAGGGGCAAGGCAAAGGTGGAAGCCGCTGTAGACAGGTAGGCATCGAAACGGGTCCGAGGAAGAATATGAAATTTCTCAATCCCTTTGTTTCCAGTTGGTCTGTTGACCCCCTGCTGATCTGAGTCCAGTTATGGAGGCTCCTGTGAATCTTTAAAAAGTAGTCATTACCTTGTGCTTCGTTGTGGACTAGGGGGCTACTCAAGCCTCAAGCAGAGTTTCTGTAGTTAATTAGCAATATCTGTAACAGGAGCTGATAGCCTGTAGGCCATCAGGGAGAAGGAGCATTTCACTGTTACAGTTGGGGTTGATAGGTGCTATTACCACACTTTTTATTGTAATATTTGGTCTAGTTCTCAATTCCTGACATAAAGGCTTCTAAGACCCTGGAATCTCTGGAATCAGTGAGTGTCTTTTGTATGCTAATGAGGTGACTCTAGATGGACCCCTAGATAGCTTCCAGTGGGGCTGGTTGGCAGAGGAACCAAATTACGGCTGGAGGGGTAGAACTCTCAGCCTTCCTCCTGGGAAAGGAGAGGGACTGAAGACTGAGCTACTAATGAGTCGTGCCTACGTGATGACACCTCCATAAAAACTCCTAACTATAGTACTGAGGGAGCTCCAGGCTGGGGAGCACATCCCGTGCCAGGAGGGTGGCGTGCTCCACCGTCCTAGGGACGGACGCTCCTGTGCTCAGGATGTTTCCGGACCCCCTCTGCTGTGCCTCTTCATCTGGCCTTTCATCTCACCCTTTATCATATCCCCTACAGTAAACTGATAAACACAAGGTTAGTGCTACCCTGAGTTCAATGAGCTGTTGTAGCCAGTTATCCAACATGAGGGAAGGGTCATGGGAACCTGATTCGTAGCCAAGTTGGATAGAAGTATGAGTAACATGGGGACTTTCAATTGTCGTTGGAAGTGGGTGGTAGTCTTGTGGGACTGAGCCCTTAATCTGTGGGGTCTGCACTAACTCCAGGTCGTTAACATCACAGCTGAAATGTGGGACACCCAGATGATATCTGGAGAGCTGGAGAGGGGATTGGCGTGGGGAAACCCGCACACATTTAGTGTCAGAAGTGTTGTGAGTAGAAGAAACAGTTTTTCCTTAGTATGCTATTGAAGTTTACATAAAATATAATATTATAATTCTTAGATGTTTTGAACAATTTTAATGAACAAAATAAAGGCACAGGTTTTAGAGGACCCAGGTCCATTTCTAATTTATCAGAGGGTATAAATGTAACAAGACAAAACATTTCACTCCCAGAATCCCTTCAGTACTTCCTGCTGCCACTCTTTCATTTTAGAAATAGGACATCATTTTGTGAGCACACCTTTGGGCTTCATGGATACCTGACAGTTTATTTTATATATAGTTTATTATGTTTTACCTGGCTCTTTGGTACACATGATTAGTAACTTAGGCTACCGTGCTGGCTCTGGTAGCTCTCCTACTGGATGGTTAGGTAGTGTGGGACTCATCTGGAAAGGTGGGGACTACTGGCGCCAACACTGGGAAATAATTGTTTTTGGCCTCAAATGTAGCTGGCCTGTATCAATATTATAACAATATCTTTCTTATTTGAAACACTAGAATTAATCTATTGTACTTTTTACTATTACTAGGCTGCTTGTAGTTTATTTCTTTCCATGGGTGCAGATTGATAAGAGATTAAAATATGGCAGTGCCTTAATGGAACTTTGGCCTAGTTAATGCAGATAGGAGGAGGTTTGTTTAACCATGTAATGCTTTAGTTGAAAAACTATAATTTTATAGCCCCCCCCACATAATATGTTGTCAGTGTCTTTCCAAGTTAATAACCATGCTTCTGAACTATAATTTTTTTATCATTACCTGACATTTCATTATATGACTACTTTGAAATGTTTTTAATTCTATTTTCCACTGTAAACAAGCATTTCCTTTTCTAGCCTCTATCCTTATTTTATAGGCTAAGCCTTTTAAAACAGGCATATCATGCATATTGCCAGACCTTTTCTGTGTATAATGTTTGAATTATGGAACATTTTCAATACACTGAAAGGACAGAAAAAATATATAATGAACACCTTTGTACCTTCCACTTAGCTTAAAAAAAAGTATCATTTGTTATGTTTGCTTCAGATTTTGTATAAAGAAATTAAAGAGTAGAGATGTTGTTAAATTGCCACCTCCCCCAGCCGTTCCCCATCACATTCTTTTCCCACTCTTCCTCTGCTTAGAAAAAGGCTACCTAGAGGTAGGCAGTCTTTGGTCTTTGATATGTATCATCCCCACGCACTTAACATTTTTTTTTTAGTATATATATATATATGTGTGTGTGTATGTTTGTAAAAATGTGAAAAGTATTCTTTTGGGGTTTTTAAAATGTATAAAAAGTATATACTTTTGCTGCTTTTATTTCTTTCTTAACATAGAGTTTTGAGACTTACCGTTCATTCATTTTAGCTGTTTTCGAGTATTCCAGCCTATTTCTGTACTGTATTTATCCATTGATGAATCTTTTGGTTATTAATTTTGCATCATTTTATTTATTTATACCATATTATTGACTATATTACCTATGTTGTACTTTACATTCCCGTAACTATTTTGTAACTACCAATTTGTAGTTCTTAATCTCTCACCTTTTTACCCATCTTCCCAGCTCCTCCTCCCACCTGGCAACTGGCAAATGTTCTCTGTATAAGTCTTTTTCTGTTCTGCTTGTTTGAATATTTTGTTTTTTAGAGTCCCCACATGAGTGAATCAGACGGCATTTGCTCCCCTCTGTCTGACTGACTTCACTCAGTACAGGACCCTTCGTGCCCACCCGCACGGTTGCAGACGGCACGGTTTCATCGTTCAAGTGATTGTTGATTGAGATACATATATTGCCATTTTACTATTCGTACTTTTGATTACTTTTTTCTTAAAGAAGACCTGTTAACGTTTTTTGTAATACTGGCCTAGTGGTGATGAACTCCTTTCGCTTTCTTAAATTGTGTGTGCTGTGTGTTGTAGATCTAATTTTTTCCTTATATTGCTCACCAAGTGTTCTCATATCCACTGATTTGTGATACCACCTCTATCGTATACCAAATTCTACTGCGTTCCTCTGGATTGATTACATTTTCTTTATTTGGGTTTGTTTCTGGTTTAAATACTGTTTTATTGTTTTGGTAGATGTTGCTACATCAATACCACATTGTTTTAATTCTTAAAATTTTATAAAAAGTCTTGATATGTGGTAGGGTGATTCCCCCAACCCTGTTTTTATTTACTTCAAAATTGTTTTGGCTATTCCTGGATCTCATTTTATTTCTCTTTCATATAAATTTTAGGATCTGCTTGTTGAGGTATATATTTTGTTAAGAATTACAGTGATTTTATAGATTATTTCAGGTAGAAATGACTATATTCATATTTATATATATTTATTCCTCTTACTTGTAAATATTTTATATCACTTCATTTATATCTTACTAAGTACCTCAGTTTCTTTTTATTCATAAATGTTTTGTTTTCCTAAAGCTTTAAACATTTCCTGTAAAAATGCATTATATCTTTGGTTAGATTTATTTCTGTGTATCTTGATTTAGAAGCTATTATGAATAGAATTTTTTAACTAAACTTAATTTTTAAATTAGCTATTGCTGTACTATAGACCATCTACTGGAGTTTTATATGTTGTATTCCACAGCCTTGCTGAACTCTCTTATAGTGTAACATTTTATCTGTGGATTATTTTAGACTATTTGGGTTGATAATAGTTTAGTTCCTTTTTTCATGTACTGCCTCTACTGTTTTCCCATTTTACTGAGCTGGCTACGAGTTTTTGTATAACACTGAGTAGAAGCAATGATGGCAGTCACTTTCATCCTGTTCTTGCCTTTAAAGGGGATGTTTCTAGTATTTTACTGTTTTTTTTTCCTGTGAAATGTTGGCAGGTAGCTAGCTAAATAAGGTTGTTTACTCCTTTCTATTTCTGTTTTGATAAGAGAATTTTTAAAAAGTTATGATTGTTGAATTTTATAAAATGCTTTTTTTCATACATTGAGATTTTTTTCTTTAGTCTGTTAATCTGATGACCTACTTTAATATTTTCTGATGTTAAATTATTCTTGCTTTCCCAAGATAAACCCTATTTGATTGCAATATACTATATTTGACTTTGGGATGCAGATTTTTCACATATTCTATAATTAGAATATGTTTTGTAGTCAATGGTATCTTCTAACTGCTTTTGCTCAGAGCCAGTCACCCGTAGTTCCTTAGTGTTTCAGTCTACAACCATTTGAAGAAGGGCTATGACTCTTGATTGCTGCCTGCAAACTTT